CCTCCTGCCTCAACCTCCTAAGTGCTGGGATTATAGGCATGTGTCACCACCCCCAGCCTCACATCAGAAATTTAAAGGCATTGTTCTATTGTGTGTTTGAAATGGCTGCTGATTCAATGTTCACTCAAAAAATATTCCAGGTAAAATTTAAGCACTGGAGATACAATAGTGAATAAGACAAAAATTTCTACTCTCTTGAAGAAGACAGGTAAGAAACAAGGAAAAAAAGCCAAAAAATAAGCCTTAGCCATTACAAGTGCTATAAAGAATCTGAATAAGGCTAAGGAATGGCTGCTGACTGAGAGTTGCTATTTTCAATGTGATGGGCAGGAACACCTTACTGAGGAGGTGACATTTGCGATGAGACTTGATTTGTGAAATATTATAATTTGTGCAAAGATACAAACCATATTCTAGGCAAAAGTAAAGCAAAGATGTCTTTGAAGTTAAAACTCTGGCATATTCAAGACATTTCAGGAATGTACATGTGGCTGGTGTGCGGTACATAAAACAGAATGTTAGAAAATGAAGTTGGTTCTGATTCTCTGATTCTTATGACTTTGTCAGTGTAGACTTCTCCTCTACCTTCCCAGGCTAGGAAGAGCTGACAGTGGAACTCACAGCAGACAGACTAACAGGAGAAAAGGCAGTAAAAATGTATTAATTTTTAATTTTATGTGTACTGAGCAATCATGGAAAGAAAAGAATACCCCAAAAGAACAAAGCAATATGAGGACATACATCCTTCTTACTAGGGGAAGCAGAGGGAAAAACTTACTGATAAGACAATGAATTTTTGGAAAGATATAAATGGGCTTGCAGGAGAATTCAGGGGAGGTGCCACTGTCTGTCTGGGTGTGGTGCTGACTGCTAATCTTTCTGTGATAAGAGTCAGTCTACTTTTCTTGATGATAATCCCAGGGAAGGGATTTATGACAGCTGAACTCTGTGTTTGAAGCGTTGGTTTTAGGCTGATAAAGAAAATTCAGACAAAGCCTTTTCATGCGTTTTTCGATTCTCAAATGCCTTCAGTGCAAAAGTCATCCTTGTGCGCAGTGGGGCATCCTGGAACCCTTGAAAATAAGGACCTGTTTCATTCCATTTTCTGGAAATATTTAGCATAGGTGGTAGGTTAGAGATTATGGGGAATGGCTGAAGCTGGAGATCCATCACATTGGGGCTGGAACAAGGCCGGTCTGAGAACAATGAAGGTCTGGTGCAAGCTGCCTAAACAAGCTGCTCCAACCCAGAGAACACCACGCCCCGAAGCTATCGTGCGTGCAGGTTGCTAGGCAGAGGGATGTCAACCTACTGAATGTTTAGGAAAGCATGTTGTGGTGGCTGAGCATTTCCTTTCCTCCCCTAGGAGAGAGGGTTCCACCTGAGCCGTTTTTTGTAGTGTGACTCTATTTCTTCATCATCCTGAGAGCTGTGCTTGACATGGCAGAGATGGCTATGAATCCTTTGAAACTTTTACACTGAGATGTGGTTTCTGACCAATAGCATACACCAGAAGCTAGTTTCTGGATCCAGATGGTGAGTGGAGTACTCAGTCTCAAAACCAACACGCCCTGCTGTAAGAAACTCAAGACACTGCAGAGGCCATGTGTGGGCCATAGATCAGTTTCTAGCCAAAGCCCATGTCACCTGCCAGCTGTGTAAGTGAGCTGTGTGGCTGCCCAGCCCAGCTAACCCTGCAGGGGAATTTAGCTCTCACTGTTGACTGACCTTAATCAACTATGTGCTCTGCCCGCAGTGAGAACTGCCCTGAGGAGCCCAGCTAACCCACAGCACTGTGAGAGATTGTTGTTTACTGAGATAAGCCCTGACTGGGCCCTGTCAATCTGGAGATTCACCTCTTCCAACTATGGGAAATATTCTTGTAGCATTTCTTAACATGTTCTTTTTTACCCTTTCAGTTTTTTTTTTTTTTCAACCAGGGATCGAACTTCCTTTCGGTTTTATGTCTGCAGGTCTTGTGATAAATAAAATATATAGGAGGCCATCAGTTTGCCCTAATAGACCAAACCAAAATGGAGTTGTTCATACTAAAGTCCTGCTCCATCAGCGGGAAATTAAGTTGTTTAACTCAACTTCTAAGAAATAGGAGACAATGAGACAATATTCCCCAATAGGCGGATTTCAGTCGTCCTCCCCCTCCTCACCTGTTTTAATCCTTGCCAAAGTAACCAGATATCAGTCAGTTATTGGTTGGTGCTGTAAAAGGAAAGTAACTCTAAAATGAACCATATGCTTTTGGTGCTTGGTTTCAGCTTTCCTTGGCCCTTCTCTGTCCATAAGATCAGTGTCCTCTCCTCAGCGCCTCAGAACAATCATTCTTTTTTACAGAATGAAGTGATTCCCTATTCTAGAAACAAATAAAGCCAATTAAGGTCTTTGAACCAAATTTGTTGTGGTTTTCTTCTGAGAACAGTTAATCAGAGAGGTCAGACCACAGAGCAGGAGGTGAGTGGCAAGCGGGCGGTGAAGAGAAGCTATGTGTGTATATATATATATATATATATATATATTTTTTTTTTTTTTTTTTGTACTGGGGATCGAACTCACGACTGCACACTTGCAAGGCAGGCACGTATGCTGCTGAGCTAAATCCCCAGCCCCGCTGTGTCTATGTTTACAGTTGCACTCACATTATCACCCCTGTTCTTCTCTCCAGTACTGGCATTGAACTCAGCTTTTTTTTTTTTTAAATAATTTTTCATCTTGAAACAGGATCTCAGTAAGTCACTAAATTGCTCAGGTTGGTCTGGAATTTGCCATGCCCCTGCCTCTGCCTCCCAGAATCCTGGGATGACAGGTACGTGCCACTATGCCTGGCTATTGTCTGAATGCAGTCTCTTCCACCTCCCTGTCACCTCAAACATGATCTGTGCCCTGCTTCCTCTATTACTAGACAGCCATATTCGGTCCACTGTCCACACTGGGAAACCTCCTGTCACCTGACGTCCCCTCTCCAGTTTGCCATGTCACTGTCTTCACAAACATTTTTTTTTTTAAGTTTTTGTGTCATCACTTTAACAAAGCCTCTTGAGGGAGAGGAGTGAAATTTTGTTCTGTCTGTTTCAGTTGCTTTGTAACTATATATGGAGATAAAGAACCTTAAACATTATCTTTTTATGTTTATAAATCTGCCTGTTTACTGTCATACTAAACAGTCCTTTGAATTTTTTTCCTCTTAAAACTTTTAAATAATCAGTAGCTCCACACACTGCCTGAGAAATACTGTGTTTTCTTTGTGTCCTCTGACATATGCTAGTGCCTTCAGCAAGGCTATGTTTATGTGAGCTTGAATTGGGCAAGTACAAAAAAAAATTAATGAAACCTCACTTTGTGAGTGAACTTGAAAATAATTCAAACTTTCTCAAATTAAGAGATGATTTTTTAAAAATAATTCGATGTTTAAGTCAAGGATCATTTCGGGCAAACGAATAATAAAAGCTCTACTTTGCCACTGCCCTATGTAGACGTGAAGTCAGTGGGTAAACAGGGATGAGGAGGAACCACAGTGTTATTTATAGGCATTGGACCTCTGGCCCTGATTTTAGTGTATCTAAAATGCTTACAGCAATTTTCTCTAAGTATTTTGTATTAGTGTTTGGGACGAGACTAAGCAAAAGATCCTAGATAAATAAAATGGGAACAGAACAGATGGACAGAAAGCCAGATAGACAAGTGAGCTAATCACTGCTGGAAAGTAGATGGCTCCAGATTACAATGTAGGCTACTTGTTCAACATGCTCAGGTAGGTCCTTTGGTTTGCAGCATTTTGGTTAATGCAAAACTCTTGTTAACAAAAACAATCCAGTAAAATCCCTTTCTCTCTCTCTCTCTCTCTTTCTTTCGTTTACTTTTTCTCTTTCCTTCTTTTGTTTAGTACCAGAAATTGAACCTAGGGGTGCCCTCCACTGAGCTGTGTACCCAGAGCTTTTAATTTTTGGTTTCGAGATAGGATTTCACTAAGTTGCCCAGGCTGGCCTCAACTTGTGATCCTCCTGCCTTGGCCTCCTAAGTAGCTAAATTACAAGCATGTACAACCATGCCCAGCCAATACTTTTAAATACATGAAAAAATCCCTGAGATTTGGTTAATTGGATTCAGTACACTGAATAATAGAATAATCTAGAAAATTAAACATTTCCAATGAAAGGAGATTATCTTTTAAATTTTATGTAAAAGTTACTGTATGTACAAGTGGTAAAATTTCTAGATTAGGATAGGAGGAAAGTGAGGAAACGGTTTTCTTTTTCTCTACCATCAATCTAACCACTGTTGTTTCTTATGTGAATTTCCAGTCATTTATATATCATATTACAGTATATTGTATAATTACATTTAGATCACAGATACTCATGCTACCTCTGATGTGGTGGTATACACACAGCAGTTTACATCCTCCTTTTCTCCTATTCTAAAGATAACATACTGTACATATTATTTTGGCCCTTTTTCACTTAACAATGTTCTTGAAGAGTTTCTTGTTTGCATATAGAGACCTCCACATTCTTTCTAATAGTTGCTTGATTTGCTGTTATATGGTAGCACCTTCAATTCATTAAAGATCAATGAAATTTTAGGTAGCTTGTTCTTTAGAATTTGTCCAAGAATAACCATTTATCCCTTTCTCAGGAGAGTATACTGACATCTTTGAAAGGGCAACATGATATTATCAGTCAGTGGAAGCTGGCAACCACCTGCCCCATTTACTAGAAGCACTTCTAATTTTATTATGTTTCTTTAAGGTTGCTTTGCTTTGCAAAGTGCCAGGTCCCAGCCAAAATATAGAACTGCTCCAACTTCATTAAACTGCAACCCTAGGTAGCTGATAAAAGCTTGTTTTTCCAGGTAAACACAGAGGAGATAAACAAGAGCTGGAGGCAGGCAGTACCTGCAAATTTCCCTCCCCTTGTTTTCCTCCCCCAGGGCTCCAAAGCCCTCTGGAAAGCCGCCTTCTGGCCCGGGTCAGATTGCGTACACACCACCGCCTCGCCTCGCAGGCCAGCGTTCCCAACCCTAAGCCAATGCACATTTATAGAACAATTCCATGTGATCCTGAGGAAGGCGGACTGCAGGCGGAGGGCAGTGCTGAAAAGTTGTAATCTCAGAAGAGAGGACTCTTCCCTCTTGCTGCTCTTCATGCTAAGAGGACACTGGGTAAGTCAGTCTCAGATCCGGCTTCTTGCTTTACACAGTTTGACTATAGACTAGCTACTGAGAATGAAGGGATACATGCATTTCTTTATTTTTTTCCTTATAAAGAGAAATTAAAAGCACATCTGTGCTCCTTTCTCCCTGCCCCTCATTCTCTCCTAAGCCAAATGAACTACATGCTTTCTTTCTAGTACCTTGCTGGTTACTTTTAGTAGGATATGGCCCTATTAATCTAGATCTTAGTCATTTCATTTGTAAACTGAGGGGTTGGACCAGATAACAACTGGGATTTCTCCCGGTCTCTGTGATGACGCTGCCTGAGGCAAATTATACATTCAAGTGTCCTACTACATCAATACTTCGTGAGAAAGTTATTTTAAAAGTTATAGTTGTGCTGCCCTTGACATGTTTGCCTATGTATTTCTCTGGCCTCTTTCTCTAAGTACCTTTTCAGACCTATTTCTGAGGCTGTGACTGCCAACTGCAGTTGCCATGTGATCTCAACAAGTCTGTGTTTCTGGGTTTGACTTTTCGTCAGTTATAACTGACTCATCGGGTCAAAGCTGAAGTTAGGCAGAATGCTAAACCTCTTCAGAGAGTGCTACAGTTCGATTGAACACAACAGAATGTATATGTATTTGAGCACATATGTGTGCACAATGCTTTCTATTATGTACCGTGAAACAGAAGTGCATGAGCTGAAATTCTTTATCACACTTGCACACTTACACTCTGTCGTGTAATATCAGCACAGGTGTAGACAAAAGGCACCAAAGCGTTTGAGCTGCTGCTTCACCCATTAATCGATCCACTGCCTTTTCAGGGAATACCTGTTGGCTATTTGAGGGTTCTCTTGTTCTTAGGATTAACTATGGTGCTTGTTGCTTCCCTGGTCAGTCTCATATGCCCACACATTCACAAGATAACATCTTACCTAGTTTCGTTGCGAATATTGGCCGCAATTTTGAGATTCCATCAGTTGTCCTGTTTGTTTATCTGAGGGAGCTTGGGAAGTTTCAAACACTCTGCTGCCACCGTTTCCCCAGAATTCCATCTATTGGGCTCTATGCTATATGCTCACTTTTTCAATAGCTCTGAGAGACAGGTGGATATTTGGCTCGGGCAAAGGGAATAATAAGTAAGGAGACTTAGGGAAAGGAGAATCCAGGGGGCACAGTGCGGGATTGTACACAAAGGAATGAAGTAGAGAGAAGAATACAAAATAACCATTCATTTTTAAAATTTCATTCAACAAATACTTACCAAATGACCCCATGACAAAGACATAATCATATTCTACACTGATACAATGCCTTCCCTCATGGAGATTTTGGTGAAGTGAGGAGACAAATACTAAGCAGGAATCACCAGGAGGTGCAGAGGCATCCTGACGGGCTCAGGCCACGTGCTAGAAACAGTGAGGTCCTCTAAGTGGAAATGGGAAAGGCAAGAAGGAATGGACAGGGCGGAACCATGGCGAGTTTACATTTCAAAGGTTGAGCTGGCAGTGAGGCATCAAAGTAGAGGCATCCAGTAGAGACAAAATGCACGTGGAGTAGGAGGGGCAAGTCTGTAGAAGCTGAGGTCTCTTGAAGGAGAAGACCAAACCCCGAGTTTCATGAGACTGCTTCTTGATAGGTCAGGAGGAGCAACTGGAGCATGGGAGCAAGCAGAGCTCGGCAGCACCTTTTCTGGAAAGTACTGAATGGATAAGAGTGGAGGGTGAAGGTGGGGTGACATGGGCAGATGCTGCAGAGAGGCTGAGACAGGATGAGGACTCAAACAAAGCTAGAGTTTGGGGGACAAGTGTTCAGAGGCAACTGCGGTTTTACTCAGCAATGTTTGACTACAAGAAGCAAAGCCTACTCAGAAAAGAAGGGTGTTTATTAACAACTCTTTTACCTGGCTTCCCAGCAACCACCGCTTCGTTCTGATCTGAGTATGGACCAGTCTCCTCTGCTGGGCTCCTCATCCTGCCCCTCTCTGAGTTTGGTTTGTTCAGGCACAGGGTTCTCTGTCATTCAGCCTGCCTCATTCCTCGCTGCCTAGTGACTAGGGACCTTCTTTTGTGAATTTCAGGGTCCTTATCAAATAACAGGAGAGAAAATCTGGACCACCTTAAGGCAGAATCTGGCTATAGTCCAATCAGCAGTGTCCAGAGGTGGGTTTGTGTGATGACCCAGGGCCACTCAGTCAGTAGAAGGATGGGAAAGAGAGTACAGGGATGGCAGGGGTGAGGAATGAAGGGTTTTCCAGAGTACAGCACAAAAACAAACAGTTGGATTTTGCTGCAAAATACGTGGTTTCATTGTAACAGAACTGAAAGCTGGGCAGCAGCAGCGCTCCTAACTGAATGCAAGGGTTGTATTCCCTGGCCAGGGGCATGCTGGGTAGGAGACACACACCACCTAGTGGCTAAAAGAGAACCAGGGGAAACAATCAAAACCATGGCCAGCCAGACACCGAACTCTCTGATGCTAACCCCTCTCTAAAGAAGCCATAAACTCAGGTGAGACTTTTCCAGCTCAGCCCCGGCAGCCCCACGTAACTCCAAATGTAGGGCATGGAGACTGCATCTTCAAGTGGTGAGCAACTAGACACTGCTTGAGAAGCCAGCATGGGAGGACCACTCTTTGTGGGTTTGTTTGCATTCTCTGTGAGTCCCTGGACAACTCACTGTGAACCTATCCTTGAGTTTTTATTTCATCTGTGTTTCAGAGAGATGGGTATCAGTTCTTGTCATTGTTGTTTGGTTTGTTTGCAATGCTGGAATCAACCCAGGGCTTGTGTGTGCCAGGCAAAGTACTTTATCACTGAGCTACATTCCCAGCTCGCTCTGTGTTTTTACAATCCTAGCCTGCAGAGACAAATTGATTCTTGTGTTTTAGTCTCCTGAAATGCCCAAATATAGCAGAAGAAAGGCAAGATAGTTGTCACTTGCCAGTGTTTCATAAATGTTACTAATAACGGTGTTTCAAATTGACACGTGGAAAGAGTGACTGTGATGTGATGAGTGAAGGCTGAGTTTGTGACCTAAAAAGGGGAAATTTTCTCTGCACTCAAGTCAGGGAACTGCCTCACAGATCTCTGTGCCAGAATTGGTGCCAAAGAACTGTAAAGAGATTAAACCCAGCAACACGAGCTGATGTTGTCCAAGCAGAGAAGGCGAGCTTTCTGTCGTCAAGCTGCCTACATCTGTGCAAAGCTGAGGAGTGACCCATATTATATGTGGCTCAATATTCAGGAGCCCAAAGAAATATCCAAGAGTTCCAGGACTAGGTGCCTTTGCTGCTGCTTACATCCTGAGTTGCAAAACGTAGGCTATGAAATGATGTATTTCTGTGTATTCTCATTTACATGTGAAAGGATTGTGAAAGGTATGGGTGTGTGAAGCTGGAGTGATCATTTCTAACTGGGACCAAGATTTTCATGTTGAGGGAACATAATTTTGTGTAACTTTGTGACCTTAAAAGTATGACTTTATATTCACTTTTGGTCATTTAGAAAATCATTCCTGGAAATATACTTCTGCTGAAATTGATAATGAAGTTCAAGATAGGATCTGACAAGTGATTTTGTGTCTCATATTTCATAGCAAACAGATGAGACAACAAGCAGTTGCATTCGGTTTGTCACAAGGTCATGGTCTCGTGTGCTCTGTTTCTTTGAAAAGCATTTGGTGATACTGTTTGCCTGCCTGATGGAAGGTTCACTGTTTGGCATTTGTCAGTAGTTCTCCCTCTTCCCAAAACCAGCTTGCTTTATTGTCCCAGAATTGAAAACACTTTAGCAAATATCTCTTCCTTGCTTAGCATTAACAAGAAGTTTCAGGCTGTTATCTTTTTTGAGGCAGGGTCACGCTATGCACTTCAACCTGGTGGTGTTGGGCTGGTTTATAGCCCAGGCTGGTCTCAGTCTTGCAACGATCCGCCCACCTCTGCCTCTCGAGTGCTGGAATTACAGGATTGAGCCACCATGCCCAGCTCTCAGGTTGATATCTTGGTCAAGAGATGTCAGTCTGGCATGTTATTATCAGAGTTTCTGTTAGATGGGCAGATCCTAGTCATATGGAATTCAGCAACTAATCTTTTTGGAGATGTATTTAAAAACGTTCAGGTCCAGACTCCAGGAGCAAGAATTAATGATCAGACACATGGTACGAGAGATTAAACCAGCATGGATGGAAAAGCACTGAACCAAGAGTTAGGGACCAACACCTGGATTTAGAGGTCCTTTGGAGGCACCTGGTCTCACGTTTCAAGTGCAAAAGGCAAATTTAGCTTGCCAAATGCAAATCAAAACTAGCTTGTTTAGTAGCCTAAATTACTGGCAGATTGTTTTAATGTTTGCTTTGGAAAGAATGACCTAACTCCAAAGCCTATCATTGACAGGCAGAGATTGGCATGACCAATATTGGATTAGGAACTGAAGTGGACTCTAGTCACAAAAGAAGGAGGAAGGATTTCTTTTCATACTTCCTACTTTCCTTCATTAAAATTTCATTATGGACTTTTAAGCATATACAGAAGCAAGCAGAGTATTACAAACATCCTCATGTGCTGGTTATTTGTTTCAACAATTATCTACACATGTCCAGTCTTATTTCATTGTTATTCCACTATCCACTGACATCTGTCTCCCTCATCTCGCTGCTAGATTGTTTCAAAGCAAGTAATTCTGTCATTCCATCAGTAATATTAAATATGTGTTCGTAAAAGGTGGGGGCTCTTTGTATATGTAAAACCACAGTATCCTCATCATACATAATTTTAAAAAATCTTTAATATTCAAAATCCTGTTGGTGTTCAAATATTCCTGATTATCTCACTTTTTTTTATTACCTTACTTTTTAAAAAGTTCGTTTATTTAAACCAAGATCCACAAGTTGCTTTTTGTTAATACATCCCTTAAGGCACTTTTCTACTTTTTCCCACAGATGTTCTGTATTTTTCATATATCCTTTGCAGATATAGCTATAGATGCAAACATATACATCTTCCAAA